GGGAGCGCGGGACCGGCGCGCGGCGCGCCAGGAGTGACTGGAGCCTCCCCGGGCGGCCTCCGCCGCGCTCGGCTTCGCCGCCGCGACCCGGACAGGGCCCGCTCTGCCGAGCCGGCTCCGTTGGTGAGGCTGCCCCGGAGCAGGCGGGCGGCGTGGAGGATGCTGCGGGCCCGCCGCCGGGAGGAAGGCGCGGGCTCGGCCCTGTAGACGCGCGGTGACCCGGAGGCCCGGCCCGGCCCGCAGCCGACGTCGGGCGGAGCGTCCAGCGCAAGCAGAGCAGCCGCCCGGCCGCACCATGTCCTCCGCCAGGTTCGACTCCTCGGACCGCTCCGCCTGGTACATGGGGCCGGTGTCTCGCCAGGAAGCGCAGACCCGGCTCCAGGGCCAGCGCCATGGCATGTTTCTGGTCCGCGACTCGTCCACCTGCCCCGGCGACTACGTGCTGTCCGTGTCCGAGAACTCGCGGGTGTCCCATTACATCATCAACTCGCTGCCCAACCGTCGCTTCAAGATCGGGGATCAGGAGTTCGACCACCTGCCGGCCCTGCTGGAGTTCTACAAGATCCACTACCTGGACACCACTACCCTCATCGAGCCGGCGCCCAGGTACGCGTGCAGTGCGGGTGCGGGGCGGGCGTGGGACCGGTTCCCCCCGTCCTGAACCACATGATTTTCCAGAAGGCCTTCGGAACGTAAGGTCGTGTCGGGATCTGGGTCATGGAGTCGAGGGGTGCGTTTCAGACACATCGGGCTGCGGGTGCCTAGTGAAATTCCACGCCTTTTGCCTTTTGTCTTGCTCTCTGTTTAATTATGCGAGAGCAGGGTTTTGTTTTTGTTTTTTAAACCTTTTTGGGACCACAGACTTAGAGAACCTGCAGACAGCCGTGGCACCCACCCCCGTAAACGCACGCACACACAAGTTTGCACACCATTGAAGGTCTTGGACTCCCTGCAGGTCTCTGAACAACTGGAGTGCAGCCTTTGCAACACTCGATAGATGAAAATGCTTTAGCGTTTAGAAACAGATACCTGTAACTGTGACACATCATAAATACTGCCTGATGCCAAGTTTGAAATGTCAGGCACTTATTTTATAATACATTAACTACAAACATTTTTTAAAAAGGTGCTTTCGCTTCAACAAAGACTTTTTTTTTTAACAGTTTTCCCTCAAGCCGCACCATTAATAGGCTGGAAATCCATTTGGTTAAATTCCAAGGAGGATTAGGCTAGAATGTTGCTAAAGGAAATTTCTGAATGACATTCAGTCTTAATTCCATCCTAGTTCAATTTCATTTGTGCTTTTTGTATTAAGTATTAATAATTTATTGCCTGTTTTAAAGTTAAGAACCCAGAGTGACGCTAAGCAGCAGGTATCTTCTTTTCGTTTGATTATTTGCCTTAATGTTTTTGTTAGAGGTTTCTTTTATTTAAATGATGCCAAACTTGAGCTGAAGAAATTGCCTAGAATTAAAAATAAAAAATATTTCACTGCCTAGTTTATTTCTTATACATTTATTTAACAAGGGCAGGGTGCTAATATAGATTCTTTGGGATAAGATGCTTCTGATTTTATAGATTGGCTGACAAGAGATTACTCTGAGTTTTACATGTTAAAAGCTATTATAATTAATTAAGGAGCCCACTGGATGCTTAAGTGTTGCTTCTGTGGGATAGAAGTAGAGAAGAAACAAAGGCATGACAGTGTAATGACTGTAAGATTAACTACCGAACTAAATGGACTTTTAAAATGGAGAGAAGGTGATTATAAATCAAATACTGTATAACAAAGACCTAGACATCAAGAATCTGATTGGTGAAGCGTCCAGGTCCTCAAAGATGCTGGTAACTGGATTTAGCTGGAGCACAATAGAACTCCAGCGTAAGGGGTTGGACGGGGTCTTAGAACCCACTGTAATGAGATTGGAAATATGTTTAAGTAAATGTTTCCTAGCTTGTGAAGGTGAAGTCGGTCGTTGATTTCAAGCATTTATGAAGCCACGCTCTGCACAATGCATCGTGTTTGCTTCGAGGTGGCAGGTACTATAATTCAGCTGTTTCAGAAAGTGTGGGTGAAGGACTCAGTCCCCTTCTAGAGGGAGAAAAAGGAACGTGCCTCAGTGGCTTCCTCTTCCCGCAGAACCGACTCCAGACTTTCCATGCATATGTGTCTTTAATGCGTGTCCTCACCCCCCACACTCCCCTTAGTGCAGCACCGCTGAGAGCCATCCCTGCACACCTGCTCACACCTTCCATACCTTTGCTCAGGTTGTGGGCAGCCCTGCCCCACCTGCTTCTCACCTGCTAAGATCTTCCTGGTTGTTCCAGGGCCTTCACCTGACCCTCCCCCTCCAGTTCAGCTTTAATTATTTCTCCTCCCCTGTGCCCTCTGCCCCAGGCATTTTGCTGTTACGTGGTTTCTCTTTTTCCCTGGTATCTTGGAGAACTGTCACAGTGCTGGCTGAATTCGGTTCTGACTGGGTTTACTTCGTTATATTGGGTCTGAATTGTCTCTCCTGTCCCCGAAATTGATGGATTTGGTTTGATACGTGACTGGCCTGCTGAGGGCAAGCCTTGATCAAATGCAGGAATCACTGTGATGCTTTTTCTTGCCCCAAACAGGATAAATTAAGTAGCTTAGTGTTTTAAGCATCAAAACAGCTCTTGCAGCCAGTTTCATGTCCCCTGGCTAATAGTTCTTTTTTGGGGGGTGGAGGGCAGTCTATTTTGCTTAGCAAAAGGCCACAACTGTATGATGCAGAATTTAAGGACTGGTGTTCTAGTTTGACCTTTTTTAATTGGAACATTCCTTAGCTTTTAATTAACTTTTAATTTTATATTTTCATTCAAATAATACTAGAGAATTCTTCCCCAAGGATAGGTAAAGATGGGTGGCAGTCGTGCTTTCTCCATCAAGGAACTTAGATTTCAGTGGAGGAGACAGATTCAAGTGGAAAAGTAAATGCAATCCTTAGAAGGTGTGTAAACACTCTGAAGGAAATAAACCTGGGCGGAGCAAGTAATAGAAGGTGGTGTGGTCAGAGGGTGTGCACCTGTGGGAGGGCAGAGAGGCCATTCCACAGAGCCCTGAGGTGAGAAAGACAGCAGTGTGCTGGGGGTGTGGTTCTTGAAGACTGGGGTTTAGGGATAGGATGGGCAAAGTAAGGAAACTGGATTTTACTTAAAGCACTGGGGATGCCAGGAAGAAGTTTGCAGCAGGGAGTGGCCTGGGGCTGTTACTGCAATCCAGGTCAGAGTGGTGGTGACTGATGGATTGGTGGAGGCCATGGGTCATAGTTCATGTAAGCATCACAGGGACTGGCTGACAGCTGTGGTTTCTGGGAGGTAGGTTGCTGGTGCGGAGGGGTGGTGAGGAAGAGAGAGGCAGAGACTCGGATGACCTGGTGTTTTTGTAGCTGTCTGTCCTCCTGATTTACCTTATTAATTGCCTTTTGAGTTTGTGATATTCATTCTTGTCTTAGATTTTAAATTTAACCCCATAAAGTATGTCAGTGGCTTTTGATTTTTGAATGACCCTAAGTGACTTGCTTTCTGCGTTTGGGTATAATTTCAATATTAAACATCATTTGATAAATTTGTTTTTGTCTCCATCTTATTTGAGTATAAACATTTTTAAGATTCTGTTTATTAAGTTGTAGTTAGCATTCAGGTGAGTGTTACTGTTTTTTTGCTTCTGCCTTAATAGAGGCTGTTTCCAGTTTAACAACAGAATGTTTCAGGTTTCTGAGTGAATTTAGTTTAGGTATGAAATACATTTTCCCATAGTTTAGAAACTTGAAAGTGTGTTTTGCGTAGTTTGCTTTGCTTATAAAATTTCCCAGCTCTCAGTTATGTGGCTGTATGGTGGCTAGTAGAGCAATCATGAGAAGTAAAAATTGAAAACTGAGGCAGGTTATCCTGTAGAGAAAATCTTGTGTTTTACTCGGCAGACATCACATGCTACGTGGACTGGTAACATGGACGTTGACTCAGCCGTGCCCTCTGTGCATCTGAGGGTCTTCCTGGTTATTGACACTTACTGCACCTGCTACAGTCTCGTAGCTGCGGGGGGATGCGCAGCCCTGAGGAGGGGCCAGCCCTGCGGAGACCAGAGGTGCCACAGGCAGCACGGTCACACCCCCCTGTCACAGCCCCTGCCTGGATGTTAAAGGAACTTAAGTCTGGACTGGTAGAGTGAGGAATCAGGGAGAAGGATTAACAGTAATTTTAGTTAGCGTAGAATTGGGCACCGTGGGTCAACCTGTGGGTTTCTTCTTAGCAGTAGCTTAAATCACCTAAATTCAGTGGAGGTGAGATACATAAACACTGGCATTATGCTGGAGGCTGTTCCCGGGGCACAGAAGGTACTGGAGCCATTTGATTTGTGGCTTTTCCTTTGTTTAAGACTCAAATTCAGAGAAGTTTTTATCTAAGAAAGAATTTTCCTTTTGATCTGAACAGTTGGACTGGATTATTTCTGTGGTTCCTTCAGGCTAAAATATCTTAGTTCTTTCTGATGAATAAAAGAGGCAGTGGTTTTTAGTGGGAATTCAGGTTACCCTGGAGTCTGGGCTGAGATCATAACAAGTGAGATGGGGCCACCAGGCATGTGGCAGCTAGTCTGGAACGACGGTGAGCGGTGGTGAGGTGGAGAGGCAGCCAGCGGACCCAGAGGCACACAGGGTCTCCCATCTGTAGAACAGATTTCTGCAGGGTCAGGGAATTGGAGTGGCAAGGCTTCTCTGTGTTTTCAGAAGGAACAAAAGGATGGAAACAAGAATGGCAACTGCTTCCCTGTGTCTTTGGCATTATAATTTTATTAGCTGGAATCTCAGTATATTTTGAGTTCTACCCTGTTTCAACACCTACTACTAGGCTCCTGGAAGAGGAGGTGCTCTGAACTGATTCTGGAGGGATGAGAACAGGTATACGAAGGAGAAGAGATGGGACAGTGCCAGCAGGAGGGCCCAGGTCTGATCACAGGGGACAGTCCGCGAGCTGGGCAGGGAGGAGGGTGCCCAGTTGTAAAGGGGCTGTCGAAACGTTTTCAGAAGAGAATTGTCATGAATGGTTTTCCTTCTCAGAAGCTGTGGAACTGGTGGGGAGAGTCTGGGCTGTGGAACTGCTGAAGGGCTGTCCCAGGAGGGCTGTGAGAAATTGAACTCAGGTCAGATGCACCTGGAATGTAAAGTGGAAGCTGACACCCTGCTGGGCAGTCCTATTTGGGGAAGGGTGAGGTGTGGCTCCAGGGATGATGGAATGGTGCCTCTGATAGAATGGAGGAGAAAGGAGAGGGGGATTGTCCTCAGCAGGAAGCCAGGTGGTGGTCAGCAGTGTGCTGAGTTTGTTGTCCAGAAGAGAGCTGGGTCTGAGCAGAGGCTGGGAGCTGGCGCAGAGGAAAGTCCTCGGGACAGAGTGGAGCCTGCGTGGGAGCGAGGGTCCTCGGTGTCCCATACCATTGAGTGGTAGAGAAGGATCAGCTACTTGAAGCACTATCAGTAGACGGGTGCTCAGCCATTCTTCTTGGAATTGATTCTTTTACCGTGTATTTTCCTCTCCAACTTTTTATTATGAAATCTTTCGTGCATACACGAGAGTACATGTGTATGTGTCTGTAATGAGGAAAACCTCTACGTCCATGTCCACATTACCCCCTTTAAAAAACTAGAACGTTACCAGCACCTTTGAAACTCTCCCACCAGAAGTTGGTTGTGTTGCTTTCTTAGCATGAACAGGAGATTGTGAGCTTAGAAGGTGTTAACACTGAAGTTTAAAGGAAATGTTTTGTCTGTGGTTTATACGTGAAGGTGAGAATGCTTTTAATCAGAAGACACCAAGAGCCAGTCACCAGTTAGTCATCCCAGGCTTGCTGTTCCAGAGTGCCTGGACGGAGGCAGAGATAGGGAGAGGCATAGGTCTGGGGGGGGTGTGTGTTCGCATGTGCGTCTGTGTGCTGGTGCTATTTACAATCTCAATCATGGAACAGATTGCGAAATGATTGAGAAACAATGAATTGTTCCAGCTTTATGTTTCCTATTTCTTTGGGCAGTGGGGTCAAACGAAAACGTTAAGTATATCTGACTTGCCATTATCATAGTTTCATCTCTGCAGTGGAACTGAGGTGTAATTTGCAGTGGATTTTGACGAATATAGGAGTGACAGAATGGGAGTGGAGGGCTTTAAAGTTATGTCAGGGATGTGGCCCGGAGATTTAGGGTATATTTGTGCATGTGCAGAGGCAGGAAAGGAGCCCCAAGGTCACTGGCAGTACAGAGTGGACAAACCGTAGGCTACCTTCCATCATTGTCAGGTTTGTGCACAGCCCTCACCAGTGAAGTGTTGAAATTGGAAGCGCGCCCTCTGCCTCCTCTGACTCAGTGATCTCAACCAGGAAGCAGCCAGCTTGCAGTGAAGAACTGGGCAGTAAACCCTTTAAGCTCTGTGGGCCATACAGTTGCTGTCACAACTGCTCAGCTCTGCCCTTGTAGTGCAGAAGCAGTCGCAGACGGTACTGTGATCTGATCAGATTTCATTCACAAAACCAGGTGGCAGGCCGAGTGGCCTACAGGCCGGAGTTTGTGGATCCCTGGGCCAGACTCACAGGTAGTTTTTGTACAGTGTACTGGAGCTGAGAATGGTTATTACCTCTTTTTAAGGGTTATATAAAAAGAAGACTGTCTGGCAAAGACCACATGTAGCCCCCCAGCCTACAGCATGTGGCAGCCCTTGACAGCAATCTGCTGCCGTCTGGAGGGCCCCACCAGCCTGGTCCTGCTCTGTGCCTACAGGAACCAGCCCCAAGCCCAGAGCTCTGGGGTGGCTTGTCAGGAGTGATGGAGCCCATGGCCTCTGGTCTTTTTCTGATGTGGAACCAGACTACGTACAGAAACCTGTCTTCCAGAGTCTTCCAGCCTCACAGAGGCTAGTCTTTGGCTTTTGTGCATCACCCCCGTGTCTGTTCTCCTGACCCTTCCACAGCTCACACCTTCCTCTGGACCCTGTTAGACTCTGTCAGGCTAACATGAATTACCCTCTGTGCTGACAGTTGCCTTCTAGTCTCTTGCAACTGCTAAGTCTGCAGTCTGGTGAACAGGAGCTTGGTGTGGATTCATGGTGTGTCCCAAGTTCTCAGTACACAGAGAGGCCAGTGGACACCTGGGTAAATGGATCTCACTAGTGTTTACCCTGTTGAAGCTGTCCTGGTGTCTTCACATCTGCGTAGAACTGACTGCTTTTCACTTCTCACTGCACACACAGTGAAATGACCGGCAGAGGAGGTCTGGGATGGAACCAACTGCACTGTTAGTAAAACACCTGAGATTTGTGTAGTATCACCCAAACTTTTTACAGAATCTCTCTGTGGCCTTTGAAATTGGAACAGGGGTATACTTTGGGGAAGTGAGGGTGCTGAGTCCCGGTGAGGACCTCTTGTGAACTTTCACACACATGGCATTAATTCTCCCACCCCAGAGAGACACAGGGGTGGCCCTGAGGCTGCCTAGTTCAGAGGTTGTCACCGAGGACTCCAGAGCCAGATTGCTGGTACAGACCCAACCCTGCTTGGGCTTCCACGTCTGTCAGGTGGGGAGTATGTTACCTCCAGGATTGCTGTGAGGATTCGATGCTTTACCATCTGCCAGGAGTGCAGCCAGAGCCTGACGTCCATGTGCGTGTCAGCTCTTCCCTCCTGTTGAGGCTTGTGGTCTCTCTCCTTAAAATACTGATGCTCAGCAGTTTGCCCCTTGGTTTGTCAGGTTGTTAATAAGTAACAAGACCTTTGAGGTTGTAAATCAGGGTCCTGTTCAGCAAGGTATCCTGACTGTGAAGCTGGTCATTTACATTAAAAAGACGTAAGTCTTGCCAAATTACAAAAACTGGCTTTTGGAGAGTAGCGTGGCACTATGTACCAAGGACCATGAAAATGTTCCTGGTCTACCTGGGAATGTAGGCGTTACAAAAATGTAACAGGGACCATCTGCTCAAAAGAGTGTGTGACACTGATGATGATATAGAGAGAAAACCTGGCTAGAAACAGGGCTGGTTGCAGCAGGCTTTCGGAGCAGCAGAGTGGGCAGACGCTGGACTGCCCCAGCAGAGCAAGACTAGGGCTGGGGGGGGAGGTGGGACTGTAGTTCAGTTAGGGCAGGTCTATGGGATTTTTTTTTCTCTTTTGTTTTCCTTTTTCTTGCTGAATGTTGTAACATGGTGACACTTCGAAAAGGAAACTTTTTTTTAAATTAAAATCCTTAAACGTAAGAGATTGCTTTGTTATCTGAAATAACTTTCTAGATCATTAACAGGGAGAAAGAAACTGGCCATGGTCTAATTGAAGATAAAACAACAGTGGTCAGTGGTTAAACAGGCATATATCCTGTGCTGGCACACCCCCTTGGGGGCTGTTCTAGACCCAGGCTCTGGTAACGGTCCCACAGGCCAAGTCACCCTGAAAGAGGTGAGGACTCTGGATGAAGCCCAGATGACTCTGATGTAGATTCTGTGCTTTCGAGAGGTAGGGAGGAATGCTAATAATGGTAATAGTTTTTCTCAAAACTTAATGTATTTGCAACTTTTCAGGACATTTCTTAGATGAAGAGAGACCTTCTTTTGCAGGAGTGTTAGAGATGGGGTGTTGGGAAGAGCAGGGACCCCAGAGAACGTTCACCAGCATGCTGGCTGGGTCACGCTGGACCTGTGAGCACAGCAGAGGGGGTGATGTGAGGCTTGGATGGTGATTCCTGTACCAGATGCAATATGGGTTTATTTTTAATTTGGCAAGCATGTAATTCCTTTCCCGGTTTTTGTATTTTGAGGGACATGGAGGCCGTTGTCTTGTCTCTGGGTGCTTGGGAAGGCGAGCAGGACATGTGTGGTAGATTGGGACCAGGAGGAAGAGTGTGTGGTCGTGACAGGGCCCAAAGGAAGGCAGCAGCTGATCTTGCTGGAGATTTAAAATAAATTCAGGTGTCTGTATGTGTAAACAAAAGTTTCATGTAAAATAGAGATGGGGGTGGTGTGCTGTCCCTTGGGTGATTTTTAAAAGTCTCATTCAGGATGTTAACTTCTCTGCATTACAAACTGCAGAGAGTAACAGTGTGACCCAGCCTCCTTGGTTACTGAGAACAGGAGAGGGGAGTAATCCATTCCAGAATTAAATGGCTTATTACAAGTTTGACCAGCACCCATGTAGAGGAAGATTTCTCTCTTAGAATAATTCTCTTTCTCTCTGAAGGTATCCGAGCCCGCCGATGGGGTCTGTCTCTGCACCTAACCTGCCTACAGCAGAAGAAAATCTGGAGTATGTGCGGACTCTCTATGATTTTCCCGGGAATGATGCCGAAGACCTGCCCTTTAAAAAGGGTGAGATCCTAGTGATCATAGAGAAGCCGGAAGAGCAGTGGTGGAGTGCCCGGAACAAGGACGGCCGGGTCGGGATGATCCCCGTCCCCTATGTTGAGAAGCTCGTGAGGCCCTCTCCGCACGGGAAGCAAGGAAACAGGAATTCCAGCAGCTATGGCATCCCGGAGCCTGCTCACGCGTACGCCCAGCCGCAGACCACGGCTCCTCTGCCTGCAGCTTCCAGCAGTCCTGGGGCCACCGTCAACCCTTTGCCATCCACACAGAATGGACCTGTCTTTGCAAAAGCAATCCAGAAACGAGTGCCCTGTGCTTATGACAAGACCGCCTTGGCCTTGGAGGTAAAGTCTGTGGAGGCTGGTTGTCGTCCTTTGACACTTAGCTTTCCCTCTTAGTTTTAATCTTGTTTTGCAAAGTAATAACTGCTCATTTAAGGTGAATTCATGGGATGAGCACTGGGTGATTTTGGAAGATGCACTGTGAGGTTTCCACGTAATTCATTATCCTTTCCTAGTCCTTGTTTCTCTCAAGTTAGCCTTCTTGCTGTTTTCTGCTCCCAAAGCCTTGGGCTTACTCTTAGAGTTGGTTTTCTTTCCAACAAGGAAAGGTGATGGTTGAGAAAGACCCATGACCTAAAGATGAAATCGAGCCACAGATGGACACACAGCCACTGTCGAGGTCCGTATTTCTAACCCTGTGGTCAGTGAGGAGAAATATGAATAGACGTCATAGAATTTCTCTTTAGCTGGATAGGGGTTGATTTCTAAATGTCTCAGACCTTACTTATGTGAGATTTTGTAAATTATAATAGCTTGAAATAGAACTTGAACAAGAAAGTCCTGAAGAGCAGTGTTGAGGAACCAGAGTGGGGTGTAAATCACAGAAGGTAGAAGTTTGATGAGACGTTCTTTAAGCCCAGAGTTACTGTGTATGAGCACAGACCTCATGCTGGGTCTTGGGACAGAAGGATCTTCCGAAAAATAAGTAGATTCTGAAAATTCAAATTTTTAGAAGCATAGTCCCATAGATTTTTTTGTGCTGTTATTTTTTACTGATGTATTAAGTACATGAAGTGAGGTGAGCCCTAAACATTATTGTATTAGAATACAGGATTTAGTGCCACAGTTCCCCAGCTCCTTCATTTATTAATAACTTCTGAAAATGCTCTGTGAACCACATGCTGCAGTGTAACCGTCTCTGTGACATGATTCCAGTTTCATGCTCTCCCTCAGTGCATGCTTGTTAGAGAGGCTGTTCCCTGCTCCCCCTGAGGTCAGCGTAGGGCCCCTGAGTTTGGGAGGCGCCAGGGGCCGTGCTAGAGCCCCTGGCTTCGGAGCAGCCCTCCCACAGACATACAGCTATAGTTTCCATGTGTTTCACTGGTTATCCTCAGTTTTCTTTGGCCCAGGAGAAATATCCAAGTGACTACACCTGAAGGTTTGTTTTAGCGACCGAGGTGACTTTACCCTCTCGTGTTGGCCCTGAGGAGGGAGTGAGGAACAGCTGAAGCCTATGGCGAGGGCCAGGGGCTGTTACACTTCCCAGGGGATGACCAGGATGAAACAGAGGAAGCTGCCTCCACAGATCTGATCCAGGCCTGGCTGAGTAGGTCTTCTGGCTTTTGGGTCCACGCCTCAGCACCCTAAAGTAACTTGGGGTGTTCTGGGCATTAAATACCTTCCAGTTTGCATAGTGGCTTCAGCCCTTGGGGGCGTTTCCACGTCTGTGGTCTCCCCCTGGAGTAGGTTGCTGGGATTCAGAGTTGGTGTGACTTGGCGTGTGTTAGGCAGCTGACCACTGGCACCACCAGGCTGAGGTCCTCAGGGGTTGAGGCTCCCAGTCCGAATTCCAAGCCCTGTAAAGGAAATCAGGAAGTGGGTTCTTACCCAAGCCAGGGTTTAAAGCCTCCCTCTGTTGATGACACCTGCCTGTTGACCTCTGGCTCTGACATGTGCGTTTAGAACCCCCCACCTCCCGCATCAGAGTGAGCACAGAAGGGTAGTGGGGGGCCTCTGAGAGCTTGGTGTGGTGAATGGTCCAGAGGTCAGGGTGTTAGACCCGGACGAGGAGAAAGAGCCCTGTGAGAGGAGTACATTTTAAGATAACCGGTGTGCTCTGCCATCACACAGCTCTTTAAGTCTCAGCTCTGAAGTTTGCCGTCTCTGGGTGAGGTCTCCACCCTGCACCTCCTCGCAACACCAGCCCCCCTGTAAGCTGGTGAAAGATTTCAGGGATTCACCGAGAGTGGAAGGGGACCCAAGAAATAGACCTTTGCCAAGTTCCACTTCACGCTGTTTCTTATTTTGTGTGTCTAACTGAGGCTTTGGGCTCTGCTGGAAGTATTTTTGTGAATTATGTTATCTTCTAAGGCTGTTGCCTGTCTGATCTTGTTAAAAACAACTCTCTTGGGCCTGTTGCAATTAGGTTACCAGGAGAAGTGTTGAAATGAGAAAGGAGACAAATGGGGCAGAATGTGCCAGTAACCAAAGCTTCGTTCTCCCCCTTGAGATCGTGTTCCGGAGAGCGAGGGTGGCTTAGCTGAACTTCAGTTCCTGAATCATTTCACAAGTGTTTTATTTGTAAAACTTGATTTTCGAAAGAACAATTCTGCAAGTAAAGAGAGACTCTCCTCTCTTGCTCACCTCTTTTCAGGAAGGAGCTGACCTTGGGGTTTGGGCTGCAGGGGAAGCTTTGGTGCCTGAAGCCTCAGCCGGCAGGGCTCCCCGGGCCCTGGGAAGCAGGTCACATCCTGCCGGGATGTTCTCAGGTGGAGGGCGCAACATGGCCTCTCCCGAGGCAGATCGGCAGGTGGGGGTGTTTGGAGCGAGGGCGCTGCTGTCGTGTGTTCTCTGACGCAGCAGGTGGGCAAGATGCAGATACGCAGTCCCATCCCCCTGGACAGCTGTCCTACATTCTCTGAGCCGAAAAGGCACCCTGGCTCTGAACTTTGATGTCTGTCTGTTCACTCATCATCCATTCATGCAACCAGCCTGTGAGGGTGCCTTGTAGGGTCCTGCTGTCAGGCTTTCCGTCCAACGACAGATGAGACACAGACACCGGCAGTGTGATTGGTAACACAGAAAAGGAGGGAGTGAGGGTGGTCTGGGAAGGGTTCCTGGAGGTGTTGACCCTTGAGCTGAATTTTGAAGGATGATTAGAAGTTAGCAAGGCGAAGCGAGGAAGGCATTCCTGGCAGAGGGAGGAGCTTGTATGGACAAGACTGATGCCACTGTCGCTGCAGGTTGGTGAGGGCCAAGCATGTTGGGCACAGAGTAGCAGTGACAAGAGACAGAAGCGTGGGCAGTGAGCTTTGAGGTATCACCAAAGGGCTCAGCTGAGGAGATTCGCAATTCTCTTGTGCATCCTTCACTGAGGCGTGAAATTGCCAGTTTCTCACAACTGGATGGAGGTTCTGAAGTTTGCGGGTGGGCGGTTTGTTGATTGGTTTTAGGTAATTTAGAGCAAGTGCTTGAGTCTCCCTGCAGTAATGTGGCTCTCAAGCACTTGTGTTCAGCACACTTTCCTGGCTAGACAAGGGGGGAGGAAACTTAGTGCCCTCAGAGCTGTTCTGGCACTAGGGTGTCTGCTGTGTCCAGGTTCTTAGTGGAGCGGTCCCCATGGTACGGTCCTGGGGCAGTTGGTGATACAAGGGAGGGTCTGTGGAGCAGATGCTGAGGAGGAGCAGTGTCCGTTTCTCAGGTGCAGGTGAGGCTTGGAGTGACCTGGGCAGGGCTGGTGGAAATCAGGGATGCCCTGCTCCTTTAGTCGTCTTTCTGGAGCTCAACTTGGTACCTCCAGAAACAGTCTCTCCTTCAGCAAATGTTTATTGAGTGCCTGTTGTCAGGCAGGCATTGTTGCAGGAGTCTGGGGTGCAGACAGGGACGGCCCCTAATCTGTCCTTATGGGTCTGGCACACGGCTCCTCCAGTGGGTGACTCTGGTAGCAAAGGCGTCGTTCCCTGCTGGCGGCCGGCCACCTCCATCCCCTCCTGTGTCTGCTGCACCGGTGTCTGGACCTCAGCGTGGCCCTGGTGGTGTCTCTCTCGAGCTTTCTTGTTTGCTTTTGTTTTGTTTTGTTTGGGGGGTTTTCCTGGTCTTATCCCATGTGTACACTCCTGGTCTTTTACAGTCCTGGTTGTGTCACATAGCATGCAGATCACCCTTCAGTCTCATGTGACTGCAGACTTCATAAAGGCGCCATCCTCACCCCACCGCAGCCTCTCCTGCCCCACGTCTCTACCTGAAACAAGACAATGAGGTTGATCTGGGTGACTCGACTTGGTTGAGCCCACGCTGCCTCCAGATAGCCACTTCCCATTCCAAATCCTCATAAGCCATCCTTCTGCTAATTGCATGCAGAATTTTGAAGTTTGATTTCAGGCTAACCTTTTACATTTTACAGAAATTGCTGTCATCCCTGTTAGAACAAAAACCATGAGACTTGACCCTTGGGTCTGCCAGTGTGCTGTGATGTAATGCTTTGTGGCAGGTGACCAGCACTGACTCTTACTCCTGCCGCCAGTGTGTTTGGTCAGTCCTTGGACACCTGTCCCCATCAGCATGAGGACATCCTTCATCTCTGCTCAGGGTCCTGCTCTAGAGACTTGCTGGTCCACCCCCACTGTGGGCGTCTGCAGTTGCATCATTGAGATTTCTCCTTGGGTTGTCCACTCCCCAGTCGTGCTGAGACCCCAGTCATTGGGTTGCATCTGATCTCAGAATCTTTTGAATTGGCTTCCCTAAGGCCCACAGAATTCCTTTACTGACTGGCCTAGAATTCCCAGATTTCTGCTTCCACCGGAAACTAACTTTGCTTCGTTGGTTAGAATTGAATTCACATCAGCAGTTTCTTCATCATTACTTCCACTTACTGAGAGGAAGCTGTCTGCCAAGCAGCCCGAGGTTTCCCTAGTGCTGCCTGTGTTTTTAAGCTCTCCAGGATCGTCTGCGAGTTCCTCTGACTGGAACTTTATGCTCCCAGTGACGTGGGGTCTGCACAGAGGTCTGTCCAGGGCCATAGAGCCTCCCAGCATAGGGGCCTACTCTGTCTCCCGCCCCTACTCCCCTTCTCACCAAGGCCTGTCAGAGAGACCCACAAGCTAACACTTACCTTCTTAAATGAAGGACTTTTCGTCAGGGCCGCTGGCTTCTTCCCCCTTCTGTCATGACAGGTCACTTGTCCCAAACAGCATCCAGTTTTAGGAATTTGATTTACCTACATCTTCTGTGCCAGAAGTAACGTTTTTTTTCCTTCTAGCATTCTTACTGGGTTTTCATTAGAGAAGATCATTCTTGAAAGAATTTTGTTCCTCTTTCTTAATATGTAAATTGGGTGGGAATAC